TGTGATATACTCTGTCAAATATGATTGTGACCATGGTGGCTGTCCTCTTGAAACTCTTCCACCTTCGTATATATGGACAGATAAATCTTCTGCTGAATTCCAAAATGTGTTGTCTTCATTAGAAATTCAGAATGATCTGTCCAATTTCATGAAATTACATGTTGATCAAACAGAATCAGGAATTAATTCTTTAATTAATAACTTTAATCAGGTAATTTATGATGTAGCAAACAAAAGTCTAAGAAAAAAACATCATAGTTTGAAAAAATCTAATAAGAAAAAGAAAAAACCTAATTGGGAAAATCAATCTCTATCAGTCTTAAAAAGCAACTTATTGATAAGAAAAGTTGTTTAAAAAATTCAATAAAGATCCATAATTATATAAGATCATCTTATTTTAGTGCTTTAAAGCATTATAGAAAATCTAGGAAAACCATGATACGACTCTACAGACAAAATCTAGTAAATCAGCTTAAAAATCCAAAAGCTTATTGGAAACTTCTGAATAAATTTTTAAGTGATGGTGGAGATTCTAGAGGCCAGTCACAAGACAATATATCAGCCGAAGAATGGTTGAACTATTTCAGGGAATTAAATAACGCAAAAAACATAAATAACCAGGATCTAGATAAATTACTAGCTAAAGCAGAGAAATGTATACAATTTAATGAACTAGATTTTAAAATTTCTGAAAAAGAGGTTCTTGATGCACTGAAATCTTTGAAAAATAAAAAAGCCTGCGGATTTGACCAAATTTCAAATGAGATGTTAAAATATGGTTTTCTACATTTCTCCCAACCCCTTTTCAAAAAATTTTTCCTAAGATTTGGTGTAAAAGTTTTTTAACTCCTATACATAAGTCAGGTGACACCAAAGAACCTAGTAATTACAGGGGAATTGCTATAAGTAGTAATATTGGTAAGTTGTTTACTAGAATATTAAATAACAGACTTGAAAAATATTTAGAAAAACACAGAATTATATCAGTGTTCTCCCCAGGCCATTAAAGGACCGCGGGCCCGCGATGTATAATTTTTTACCGCGGTGGTATCGTTCTTACCGCGATGTATAATTTTTCTCCGTGGTGCTAAAATTTTCAGTTAAAAAATCGTAAATCGTAAATCGGTAAAGTGTTAATCGACTTGTTTTAAAAATCTTTTCCGTGCGGTATAAAATTCCAGGTGAAATTTGACCAGTTCAAACCAGTTCAACACGGATTGTTTACACCACGTGATCGATTTACCTTTATGAGGTTAACCTTTGTTGATTGGATTTAATTGATGTAATTAACACTTTTTACATGATTCTTTTGTGTTTTAACTTAGAGGTCATAACTTTATGATCAAAGATAACTATTTTAAGGCTTCACTCACCACCTGACAAGTCGGCAAATACTTTGTACACAAACCGTTTTAACCCGATAGTTGTACACACGACGGTACATATTTTGTACATTATAAAGTTAGCTCAATACTTATATTATAGTTTTATATGTCTCTGATTAAACCATGGCCAAAATTATCTTTAATTATGACATAGTTATTGTATGATATTCCGGTTTCAAACTGTCAACAAGTAATTCAAAGGGGAAGGATCACCTGACCCAGTTAGTTCATGTAGAATATTCAAGATTATTTACAATTAACTGCAATCTATTCTATTTTATAAATAAAATGCATGACTGTACCTTCAAACTGGATATCTATATCCATATGATCATTAATGAATAACAGAAGTGATCTTGCAATTAATAATAACCCAAGAACAAATTGGTTTCTCTAAAGGTAAAATGACAAGTGATCATCTTTTTGTCTTGAAAACTCTAATAGACAAACACACACAAAAAGGCTCAAAACCATTATATACATGTTTTGTTGACTTTAGAAGAGCTTTTGATACTGTTAATCATACAGGACTGTTTTTATAAACTTAGTAAAATTGGAGTAGGAACCCATTTTTATAATATAATCAAAAGTATGTATTCTAATAACATACTATTTATAAAAACACGAAACATGTTAACAGCTGACTTTAGATCATGTATTGGAGTAAGACAAGGTGATAATCTGAGCCTGAGTCTCTTTAAAATATTTATTAATGATTTTAAATCTTTATTAGATGAAACCTGTGACCCAGTATTGCTATCAAATATTTCATTAAATTGTCTTCTTTATGCTGATGATCTTGTACTGCTTTCTGAATCTAAAAAAGGCTTACAGACTGCATTAAATAAGCTGGAAATCTATTGTGAAAATACAGGTTTAGAAGTTAATTTAAAAAAAACGAAATCTATAGTTTTTAATACATCTGGCCGTATTAAAGATGCACAGCTTTCATATAAAGACACATACATCAAAAATATCCAACATTATACTTATCTTGGCATAACTTTTAGTGCATCTGGCAGCTTTTCAGAAGCCAAAAATATGTTATATAAAAAAGGTTTAAAAGCTTTCTTTAAATATACTAAATATTTTACTAATTATAAACCTAATATCTCCACTCTAATGCACATTTTTGATCACACAGTGAAACCCGTGTTATTATATGGTTCAGAAATATGGGGTTGTTTTAATTCAAAGAAGTTAAAGAATGACACAGAACTAAATTATTTCTATAGACTTTGTAAAGATCTAAAAATCCAGAAAGTGCATCTAAAATTCTGCAGGTTTACATTAGGAGTGAATAAGCATGCAACAAATTTGACCATATTTGGTGAATTAGGTCGTTTTCTTCTTATGTTAGATATTCTAACAAACATGATCAAATATTGGAAAAGAATTCATATTACAAATAATATTTTATTAACAAATGCATACTCTCTCTCAAATACATTATCAAAAGCTGGGAAGAATTCTTACAATAGTTACTATTTACATTTAATTAATAATTGGTATGCTGTGAGGTGTCATATTATATATTTTTATTATAACAAATTACTTATTTCAGTTACTCTGATATTATATATTAATCAATTAAATAAAAATAAATCATGTTGTGTACTTTGTTTAACCTATTTTTAATTTACTTTTATATTATGTTTGAAATTATATTGTAATTATTCTGCTCATTTTGGGCGCCGTGATTGGCAAATAAAATATTTGTTTGTTTGTTTGTAATAACGTTGAATAAGCAAGAATGATTTAATGTCAATTGCTGTAAATTCAGAAATGTCTGCATGCATTATCATTAAAATGATTGTTGAAGAAAGTGAGTTTAATTATTATGATTTCATGAAATGCTGCATACAAATACAAAATATAACCTATTTTTGCAATAATAAGGAATCATTTCAATTTAAATATTCAATCTTTTGTTTTTGAAAATTAAGAAGGAATGGAATATTTTACTATTTTTTTGTCTTCATCTAATCTTATTTTAAACCAGGCTGAACTTCAGTTTTTAACTATTTTTCTCTTCCAGTAAAGTTTTCAAACATCAATGTATTATTCATAGCATTTTAGGTGGTTCTTTTGATTTTACCAGCCATCATATTTTCAGATATTGCACTTTTAAGATTTCAAATGGAAATGTGGTCTTGAAATTATTTATAGCAAACCACAAAAATTTAAATTAGCTTTATGTTAGTTTCACCCCCTTTTATCCACTTGAACACATATGTTACTATAATTGAAGATTAATTTGGAATGAATAGTATAACAGCTTCATTCTGCTGACAAATTTCAGGCATTTCTTTTGATTATTTTTGTCTATCAAATTTTTAATAGGCTTCTACTTAAACTAGATTTTAATGTATGTCTTTTGTTTTTTTAACTCTCAAGTGGAATATTTTGCTGAAAATGCATGTCTGATATTTAATGAGTTCACCCAACCTAGTTTAACTGCTGGCTCCGGAAAATTTCTATGTGTTATGAAGAATTATACTTTTCACTCAGAGAAAAATATCAATTTGACTTTCAAACATGTTTCACCATTTTTATGAGAAAGAAACACAAATAGACCTAAAACTAGATGTATGGGGTTGACAGGAATGGCACTGCCAGCTTCCAAAATACAAAGGGCTGTAAAATTACATGAAAAAAGGTCATCCACAACAAAACGCAAATCAAGCTTGATCTACAATTCACCTGTATACACTTAAAAAACAAGAACAGCTTAAAATCTATAGTCATAATAATGAAGTCCAGATCACAGTAGGAATTCAGAAGCAAAGAAGGATGGAAGGAAGGAAATTGGTAACACTCTATGTCCCTGTCACTGCATTGCTGTGAGATAAACTCATTAAACGGACATAAGATTGCCTTTGTATTATCAACCAGTGAATATGCACAAGGTATTGCCCATACCCAGTTACGGTATCTTTAAAATGTCAAAAGGATATCATTATTTTTTTTGTAGGAAATTAAAGAAATTCAAATCTGCATGTTATCTTTCTTGTTAAAATAGTTTATTTTTTTTGTCATAATCTAAGTTACATAACTCTAGATTGTCAAAGGTAGATCGTGGACCAAACCTAATCATTTGGGAAATTCTTCAAAGCATATTCAAGTTCGACCTTGATGAATTCTCAGACCATCATCCTTTCTGTATGTCCTCATACTGTATGCCAGTTGTATATTGGTGTATAGAAATGTTAAAATTTTCCATTCACGTTAATATGACCTCAAACGCTTATGACCTTTCACCTAAGTCTAAGATTACCAGTGTTTGATAAATACAAATTAACTTTGTAAACGTTCCTTAGAAGTTTGCATTCAGCTCGATAAGTTTATATTGTAATGTCTAGTGTTACTCAGTGATTTCAATGTCCACTATGTAAAGAAATCCTGCAATATTTTGAAATAATAATATTTTAAGATATTTTTCAGTACCATAAAGGCTAACCTTTCTTTGCAGTTACAACTCTAACACATACCTAAAATAAATCTGATTTTTGTGACAAAGAGCTGATTGCTGCATGTCTACATTAGTAGTATGAAGGGAGACAATTCAATAGTTTATCTTGCATTAGAAAAGGTAATAAAACATGCTGGACAAACCTAGAATTAACTTTCTCATTGTCTTTATCATTTTCATCAATAGCCACCATTACCAGTATCTTGCCCATTTCTGCCACATCGTTGATGTTTCCTCCTGCCACCTTGGGGAAGGCCTGATATCGTTCACTATTTACCCAGAATTCTAATGAGGACTTAGTTGGTATACCATCTGGAGCTATCATATGAATTATATACATGTTAATGGCTCAGTATTAAGTCATTAGAGTTTTTAATATCAGTTACCTAAAATAATCATTTGTTAATATTTTTGTTAAAAAGTCTTGGAAAAGACAGACAAGAGTCAGTCAAATTACCAATAGATAAGAATGTTTCTTTTTTTAATAGCAGGTGTTCAGCTAGGATTTTGAGGTCTTCAGTCACTTTTGCTTAACTGTGTATGAAAAGTTACCTTTTTAGGGTAACAGCAGGGAACTATATGACATCTAAAAAACTATTATATTTCTATGATAGTATGTGATTGTATTTTGTATATATTTACCTCTTGTTTCACATGTGAATGTGACAGAGTGTTTTTAAATGAAGCATACTGTATTGTATTGTGTTGTATTAGAATTATTTTCATTGAAACAGCTATTAATTGACCCATCAAAAAGTTACTATTGGCATGAAAATATAGAGTTGCTAAACATCTTTTAAGTCTGTTTGAACTGTGGCAACTTATTTAACAATACACCTTAGAGATCTATCTGTAGTAAGAGAACATTATCCTATCCTTGGACCTGCACCATGACTTTTAAGCCCTTCTAAGCCTACATATTTAAATTAAAAGCATACCTTTTTTTCTTCCATGAAAGAAAAATGGAAAATTTTCATTTTTCTGGTAATCCAGGACTATACTTACCTTCATATTCAAAATATTCAGAATCTTTGAAAACTAGCACTGTTGGAAAGCTTTTAAGCTTAATATCCTAAAAACAAATATAAAAAGCAAAGTTAGAAACATTTGGTTCAATTGATACGATCTGCATGAATAACAAGTATTCTGTGAGTATTGCCTGGCAATACAGAGTCCCCTACCGGTTAAAAATTCATTGTACTGGAACAAAACATTAACTTGATCTATAACTTGTCATGGTGTAAAAAAATCATCAGACCGGAATAAAATTCGTACTTGATCTGTAACTTGTCATGATAAAACTATATACCAATCATCAAATCAATATCTTCAAGCATGACAAAAACAAATGTGGAAAACTGATTATTGGAGTGAATTTTCTAAGTTCAAGGACCATAACTCTGCTCAAAATCGTCAGACCAGAACAAAGTTCAAACTTGACCTGTAACTTGTCATGATTAAACCATACACCAAATATCAATTCAATATCTTCCAGCACGAAGAAAAAAAGTGTGGAAAACTGGTTTGCCGGACTGACGGATGGACAGACAGACAGAGTGCAAACCTAAAGTCCCCTTCGACTTCGTCGATAGGGGACTAATAACAATATCAATATATCTATGTTATGAATAAAAAAGTTTGGAATACTGACTTTTTCAATAGATTAGGAGATAATATACATAAATTGAAACTAAAGAAGTTAAATTTTTCTCTGATATAAAACCTGTCAAATTACTGCTGATTTATTTTCTGATATAATTATTAAAAACGACAATGATTTTATAAGTTAGTCATAAATTAATCAAGAGTCATGTTAAACAACCTATATACGTTATAAAAAAACAGTATGGGTTTTGCTCATTGATTGATTTATTGATTGTTGGTGTTTAATGCCACTTTCAGCACAATTGGATTGCAGTCAGTTATTATTGGTGGAGGAAGCTGGATTGCCTGGAGAGAACAACAGACCTTCCACAGGGAAACTGGCAATCCCAGTCAATTAAGAATGAAGTTGAACACACTTACCATGTGTGGAGTTCAAATGATTTTTACAGTTTGTTCATATGTTGTGCTGTCCAATATTAAGGGGAGGGTTAAGCGCTCACAAATACATTCTTTATGTGCCTGTCCCAAGTCAGGAGCCTGTAGTTCAGTGGTTGTTGTTGGTTCATGTCTGTCATATTTGTGTTTTGTAAATTGTTTTGTTATAAATTAGGCTGTTAGTTATTTTGTTTTAATTGTTTCACATGTAAGGTCCTTTAATAGCCAATTATACAGTTTGGGTTTTTCTCATTGTTGAAGACTGTTACCTATAATAGATTAAATCCACTTCATTTGAAATCTGGTGGATAGTTGTCTCATTGGCAATCATACAACATCTCCTTTATTTTTACATAAAGTGTGAAATACAGAAAACCCTTTTTTTGCATTCATTGTACATTACATTAAAACTTGTTAATTTAATTTGTATTATGGTTAGTGTATGTTATGTAATTGTATGGTATAAGAATAAAAGAAATAAATTATAACAAAATTATAAAATGAATTAATTCCTTCTCCACAGCTCATTGTGTAGCTTAAACAGCTTCTCAATCCAAAAATTTGTGTATTAACCTCCTTATAGAGTATAACAGCATTAACTCCGTCATCTTACTCTGGCTACGATGATCTTATATAAATTTGGTTATTCTTTTTATGTCCTTTGAGGTCATATAGCTTCTCATCTATTTAAGTATTTATACACCTGTAGCTTTCAACTGTTTATGTTTCAGCGTTCCTAATGAAGGTAAATCCAGGAAAGCACTTTGTACACACAAAATTTACCAAGTTTAATCTTCATTTAAAAAAAGTCTAATTTCTTTACCAGTACATTTTCTTAAACTAAATCACAAACCTTCGGTAAAATATTTTTCTTCCCTGAGTAAAAATACATCTGTACAATAAATTTATCTGCTACTTCACTATACTTTCCCTACAAATGGAAAGTATTCTTTATGTCTAAAAGAAATCATAATGTGACTTACAAAGACATATTTTTTGGATTTAAAGTCAGACATATGTTTTCTGCTCAGTATTGAACTGATAAGTCAAGATCTTTCCAACTAATTTGTACAGTCTGTTCTTATGTTGTATTGTTACAACACTGCCTCTGGTTAGAGGGAGGGTTGAGAACTCATTAACATGTTAAACCCTGCCAGATTTTGCCTGTCTAAAGACAAGAACATGTAATCTAGAGGTTGTTGTTGGTTTTAGATTGAATATTTGTTTTTATTCATTGTTGTAGTATAAATAAGGTCATTGGATTTCTTTTCTGAATTATTTCACATCTGTCATACTTGGGCCTCTTCAAGCTTACTCTATTGTATTGGTTTTGCTCATTGTTGAAGGACATACAGTGACATGTAATTGTTCATATCTTTGTCTGTTTGGTCTATGGGTATATGTCTCATCAGCTATCATATCACAACCATGTGCTTATTTTTTATATCAATTCCTCACAATTTTTTTTATATATATAATATAATTTCACAATTGCTATATGAAAAACATTTTTCTAAAAAAACTATTGTAAAACAACAATGTCAAATTTCTAAAATCATAAAAAATTAAAATATATGAAAATTAAACTGTTATCACAGAGATATGTCTCGCCTTTTTGTAATTTTGATAATGCAAATGTTGAAATTAAAATAGTAATACTTTAACATGTAAGTTATGCAAATATTCAAAGTCGATGAACCATGACTGAAGGTACATGGCTAAACAATCTCCATGGAATGAGATGTGCCAATGCTAATACAACTGCATACCAAATACCATTGTCTTATTATAAGTCGTTCCCTTTAAACAAACCTAAACACAAACATCAACTTGTAAACTATGTAAAAGTTTCAAAGTCAATGAACCATGATCAGGGGTGGGGCTATATAATCTCCATGGAAACGATACTTGCAAATGCCAATAAATTTGCATACCAAATATCATTGACTTAACATTAGCAGTTCATCTTTAACTGATCTAATCACAAACTAATACATGTTAACAAAGCAAACGTTTCAAAGTAAATAGACTGTGACTGAGGGGGCGGGGCCAAATATTCTCCAGGGAAATGAGATGTGCTTATACAACTGAACACCAATTAACATTGGCCTACCACTAATGGTTCCCCTTGAACTGACCTAATCACAAACTAATACATGCAAACTATGAAAAGTTTCCAATTCAATAGACCTTGACTGAGGGGGCGGAGCCAAATAATCTCCATGGTGAGGAGATGTGCCAATGCTAATACAACTGCATACCAAATATCATTGACCTACCACTAGTGGTTCACCATGAACTAGACCTAATCACAAACTAATACATTGTTGACGCCACCGTCACCGTCGCCGCCTACGCCGGAAACAGCATACCTATGTCTCTCTTTTTGACTCCATCAATTATGATATCAGGTTATATTAGTCTTGTTATGCATGTGTACAGCTGTTCCTTAGAACTATAAATAAGCTGTCATTACAGAGATACCCTATGTCCTGTCCAGGGTTTGACACTAACTAATTGTATGTACTAGCCTGTAGGGCTAGTGAAATTATTATTCTACTAGTCCTCTTGTCAATTCACTAGCCCTCCAAGTGCCGAAGGCACTTGGACGGTCGTGCCGAAGGCACTTGGACGGTCGTGCCAGGGTCTGGGGACATGCCCCCCCCAGAAAATTTTGATACAAATGAAGCTAAATCCTGTGTTCTGGAGCATTTCCAGAGGGTTTTGAACATGTTTTGTTTCATGAAATTTCACTGGTTTGCTTATAAAAAATACCCAAAAAAAATCAAAAAAAAAAATCATATTTTAATCATCTATATTAAGATAGTGTTCGACTTATTTTGAAGACCCCTTTAGATCATTACTTCATCATTATCCTCATTTTACTTATCATTATTACTAGTGTCTTTAATGAAGATGGATAAGTTAGGGATTTATAAATACACCCACAAAAGAGGAAAGCTTTGCCCTTGCTGTTTTTTGTAATAATTCTTCATGGACTCCTTCTTTTCCCTTGTTGTTTCAGTTTATTTTTTTTTTGCAGGACAAGATTTTATTCCTAAAAATCTGTATATTTTTACCAGAGACCAAGGAATAGTATAGTATACAAATCCTTGCAGAGACCTATAATTTTGTTTTTATGACAATAATTCAGTGATATTGTTTGCCTCAAATTATATTCGAAATACAGCTTTTTCCCCTAGAGAAAATTCCCAATTACTAAAAAACTGGCTTAAAATTCCTCCCAATAAGTTGTTTATTTTTCCCAAATGTGATGGTATCGGTAGTAATGTATGTAAATTTCGTATTCATGTTATTATTTTGATATTATGAAAGCACTTTTGAGATCGAGGTTTTCGGTTTAGAATCATCACGGTGTTTGTAACACACGTGGTTAATTCAATGTATTAAGTACCATCATTGTTTCCGTTTCTTTCCCCTCCCCAAAAAGTACCTTTCATGTTAAAAATGTCTGACAATCAAAATATACGTGAATAAACTGTACAATAAAGACAGCAAAGGTCAGCAAAAAATCTGGGATTTGTTGACAATTAAAATTTTGTGAAATTTCTAGTTTAAAACAAAATTTTGACTAGCCCGTCAGACTACTGTGATGAAAACTTTACTAGCCCTCCCTAATTTTTACTAGCCTCGGGCTAGCGGACTAGCGTTAGTGTCGAACCCTGCTGTCTGTGTGACTTAATCACAAACATTTACAATTGTCCATGCTTCCAAAGTTGACACTGGAAAGGGCATGCATTCCATAATTTGAGCAAGACTTAAAGAATTGCACAAATAAAATTTCAGTGATACACCACAAAGGGTTTCTCATAATAAACTGTTATCACAGAGATATGTCTCGCCTTTTTGTAATTTTGATAATGCAAATGTTGAAATTAAAATAGCAATACTTTAACATGTAAGTTATGCAAATATTCAAAGTCGATGAACCATGACTGAAGGTACATGGCTAAACAATCTCCATGGAATGAGATGTTCCAATGCTAATATAACTGCATACCAAATACCATTGACTTATCAGAAGTTGTTCCCTTTAAACAAACCTAAACACAAACATTAACTTGTAAACAATGTAAAAGTTTCAAAGTCAATGAACCATGATCAGGGGTGGAGCTATATAATCTCCATGGAAACAATACTTACAAATGCCAATAAATTTGCATACCAAATATCATTGACTTAACATTAGCAGTTCATCTTTAACTGATCTAATCACAAACTAATACATGCGGGGCCAAATATTCTCCAGGGAAATGAGATGTGCTAATGCTTATACAACTGAACACCAATTAACATTGGCCTACCACTAATGGTTCCCCTTGAACTGACCTAATCACAAACTAATACATGTTAACTTAGCAAAATTTTCAAAGTCTATAGACCATGACTAAGGGGGCGGAGCCAAATATTCTCCATGGAAATGAGATATGCCAATGCTTATACAACTGCATACCAAATATCATTGACCTACCACTAGTGGTTCCCCATAAATTGACCTAATCACAAACTTATACATGTAAACTATGAAAAGTTTCAAAGTCAATAGACCTTGACTGAGGGGGCGGGGCCAAATAATCTCCATGGTAATGAGATGTGCCAATGTTAATACAACTGCATATCAAATATCATTGACCTACCACTAGTGGTTCACCATGAACTAGACCTAATCACAAACTAATACATTGTTGACGCTGCTGCCACCGCCGTCGTCGCCGCCGCCAACGCCGGAAACAGCATACCTATGTCTCGCTTTTTGACTCCGTCAAGGCGAGACAAAATACTTTTTTCAACTTGAAGATGAAACTACATTTTTGTATTCTAAAATTACATATACACCATGGTTGCAAAAGACAAGTGCAATCTTTATTGATTTGAACAAGTTTTGTGTCTTTTGTTTAGTTTTTGGGGATGATGGCTGTAATAATCTAATAAAGATCTCATTTCTGGCTTAAAAAGAAATTGTTTGAAAACAAAACTTTAAGGCTCTTCCTGACTTTTGTAGTGAATTGGAGGTAATGGTATGGTTCAAAATATATTATCTGTCAACCCAACATTTGCCCTTATTTAAATTTAAAAATCTGATTTACTGATTTATGACGCAAAAGATGTTGTATGGAAAAGTAATTTTTCCTTAAATTTCATTCTATTTATAGGCACTGTGACTTTCAAACTTTGACCTACTGACCGAAAAATCAGAAGTGTTTAGTTCTTGCGATGGGATATTTCCAAGCTAACTTTGGTAAAGATTAAACACATGGATCTAAAGATGTCTTCTGGAAACTCCCTTTAGTCCATGTTGCCTGTGACCTTCACCTAATGACCTAAACAATTTGTTTTTTTAACAACAAGGGTTAAAAATGGAGATTCAAGCACTGATGTAAGGTTCTATTTGTTTTATCCAAAAACCAAAATTTGCTCAAAGTTCATTCCATTAATTGCTCATGCGACCTTTACCTTAGCTTTAATGACCTAAAATCTACAACAGTCTTTTTCGCTCCATCATGCATTATCAAACTAAATAAGTAAAGATATTGTGTATTGTTCAATATTGTCTGGAAATCAAACCCTTGACATTAAGACGGTTATATGCCTGTATGATTTTCAACATATCATTACAGAGTTCTGACCATACCTTGTTTTTTATTTGCTTTTAAAATATATACCCAAAGTTTAGTTATTATTTAAATTTTTTTTTATAACAAATAGTCTTAAAAAGATATCTAAAGTCACACCAGGTGGTAATGTATGTCTTGGTAAGTTAAGAAGTATATTCTACAGGTAGTTTCATGGGAAATATAATACTGAAATAGATGGTTATTTTCGTTTCAATATCGTAAATTCCGAAATTATTGTGTGCATTTATTATTGCCATTGCTGAACAACAAACAAAAATGTGAAATCAAATTTTGCAACTTCAGGAAATGGTAGATATTATCAAAATTTAAAATGAGAGTTTTTATGTTTGCGAAACCTATCCCATTGCAATAATTTCTGAATTTACAGTAAATGAAATATTGCATTAGAAATACAGATCTTACAAGCAAGTCATCATGAGGATCTTCATCTCCAATATACAGGAAAAATACTTGGTCACTGTGATCACTTTTTACATTATAATATTTTCCTATACTGGCGATCTTTCTAACTGCTGGTCTACAAAAAAGACAAAATTTTAAATCAACAAAAAATGTTTAGAACCAATATCACAATGATAAATTTTTCTAAGCTGGTCAAAAAGCTTATTATTCATCATTCTGACAAAAGCTCAGGAAGTTATTTCTTACTTTGTCCATGTGTTTGATTGACTTTGTCTCTAGAACACCTCTTTTCAGTTGTTTTTGGTCTTTTATTAGATAAAGTATTGTTCAATATCATGTGTATTTGTGCCATAAAATTTTTGAATTTTGAACTTTGTTTACCCTTTTGTTCCTGAATATCACTGCAAATTGTACTTTCTCCAATAACGTTGATTTTTTTATTTTTCTGTAGTGATCTAATGATAAACTGTCGATAGATACAGGCTATCATGAGACCACCTAGGTAGTTTCATCAATTTATAGTTAGTGTGATATTGTTTTATCAAGAAAAGCAATGATGTATTTTCTGGTCTTATCCTGTAGTTGGGTTGCTATCTCATTGATTTATAAACCAAATCTCTTTTTACTTAAATATCAAATAACAATACTTACCCCTGAGCTTTATTTACAAATTCTAAGATATCCTCTTTGGATCTTTCACCTCGGAATGTGTACATTTTCTCCCCTTCAGCACTAAAAATAACATCAATAATACTGTTCAGAAATTATTGCAATGTTTTTATTAATTCAATGCCAAATACAAATGTACAACAACAGTATTAGGTTTCCAATTACAAAAACTTGCATTCATAATTTCAGTAGTGATTTTCCATTACAAATGTTTGCAATCGCATAAATTAGATCTTGCATTTTTTCAATAGTCAGGGATTTGCAATTATAAATGCACGCATTCATTTCTGAATTTACGATAAATAAATTCAAATAATTCAAGTATTTAAATAGTTTGACAGTTCTCATTCTAAAAATAAACTTTTAGCCAAATAATCCACTTAGATATAATACCTACCTACTCAATATAAAATCAAGATATTTTTTGTTATAGAAGTGTAGAAATGACATATCCTGCATTTGGTGTGGTGTAATTATGTTTCTCTAATCATTATAATGCATAATTTATGGACAAATTCTTTTTCCAACAATCAAATGAAAGTGTTTTTTTTACATTATCAAACATGGTCATTATTTTTTATGCAATTAAGAGGGGAAAATCAGAGCAGGTATGAAATTTGACATCATAACTAATAAATGTTAACATGTGTTTATCTACAAGAGAATAAATTGACAAGTCAGCTCTGCTTCCATATCCAAGTTCATCAACCAGGAGTGGAGTTCAACTTGTCTTCAAAAGAAAAATCCCTTTCCAATTGACGCATTTTACTGAGTTTCAAGTTGGGAATTTTCCAGAAAGTCCCTGCGCGTTAAGCATAAGAAGTAACTTTTTTTCTCAAGTTTTGAGGGCCAAAAAAGGGGTGCGTTCTATGCATGAATGTGTTTTATACACACCAAAAGGCGGTAGTTAACATTTACACAAGTATACAGTTACCACAGGACCATCTATGCCAGCATAAATTGTGTGCATAGATGTCAGTGAAATGTGTACATGTCAAATAAAGTGTGTATAGTAATCTTAGAATAAGTGTACAGTTGCCAGATAAATGTGTGTACAGATGCCATTGTCAGTCAAATATATGTATATTAATATATGTGTAGTTTTCAATCAAATGTCTATAGCTGGCCATTGAATTAAGGAACAGTTTCCAATTGAATGTGTGTATACTACCTAAATATGTATAAAACTTTGTAAAGGGTTTTTGCGGAACCCTGTGTCTTGCCTAAACATACTGAAACTAAAATGGTGATGCTGACAATGACAACATAATGTAGGACTGCTATGTCTCACTTCTTTGATAGAATGTCGCAAGCTCAACAAAAATGAAAGTACCACTAAGATGTGAGCTGAGTTGCAAGTAAGAAGTGAGTACATTTGACGGTTTCATGTGTACAGTAATATCTTTGAATCAGTGAAAGGTTGAAGTTTCAGATACCTTTATTCAAGGTTTTGGGTATTTAAATGTCCACTGTAACAACTGACTGTCATGCTGGTTTATAACAAAGACAAGGTCAAATTATATATAACCAAAATACCATTAACATAAATTACTTTTCATTGGTATTTCATGCATTAATTTCTGATATTGGAGAAGAAAAAAAAGGAAGCAGGAGAGGAATATTCTATTTCTTATTCCAATTAAGGGAACAGAAGAGCACAAACATTTAGCCTGAAAATAACATCAATTATTTGAAATTAAAACAAATAACAAGTTTTGATTATATATCTGTAAATAATTTTATAGATCTTACTATTTGATAGTTGGATATCCTCTGACATCAAACTCTGATGCCACATGTGTATATCTTGTAGCATCAATTTTACCAACTTTAACATCACTTGACCTGAGTGCTGCTCCTACTTGATGATAGATTGGTTCTAACTTTTTACAGTGTCCACACCAAGGTGCATAGAACTGGAAGATGACAAAAGACAATTATTTTCAAAACTAATCGAACTTAAAGCAAAAAAGATCATATTTAAAATTACAAAACTAATATGTAAAAACTTTCTTAGCATATCATCATGTATAATAATAACAAAAATTAACACTTAGGTTTTCATGTCAATGTTTAGACATAAATCAAATGATAAAAAATAATGAGTATGAGTTGTTCTGTTTTTGCCACATATTTTTCAGCTTTCAAAAGTACTTATTTTCTATATATACTAGAGGCCAAAGTTTTTAGAATTTGACTTCATGATTGTCTTTTAACCTACCTTAATTACAACTTGAGGGCTTTGGATAATTAATGAAGGCCTAAAGAAAAATTATAGTTTGTCATGTACGTGGAAACTTAAACTGCAGATTTAATCATTTGATAGTGCCAAATCAATGAAGATGTGTATCCTTGTAAATCCACTGGCTACACATGTACTTACTTCTAATAACCATTTTCCATTTTTTCTGTGATCTAGTATCCTGCTCAAGAAAAAAAAGCTATTAAATATGACTATAAATTAGGTTAAAATTTGAACTGATAGTATAATGATCAAACATTTGTGTATATGCAGAGTAAAGACATTCTAAAGACTAAGTTTTTCAAGAAATATCACAAAAAAAGTGAAGCATCATACTTTTTATTTCGACTGTTAAGTTTTTTGTTGGAGTTTAGTATACTAATCAGGTAAGGGAGATTAAATTGTGCATGTGCAATCAATGTAGCAATGAAGTATCTACAACTATACTTGAAAATTGGTATATTTATATTTTGAGACAGATAAATGACATTTGGGTCAGCAAATTTCAATGTTTTCCAAATATGCTGCATCCTGACGTCTCATGAAAGTCCTAAAAATGGGTGTTTGGGGAATTTCTGGGACTAAAATTCACTCGACAAAGTAAAGGCATCTGTGAATTACTGAACCTAGATAACTTGTCCAACAAAATACAAACTAACTTTAAATCATTGTCAATAGTTCTTTTATGAAAAAACCCATATCAATTGAACGCGTGGAACAGCTAACATCTTATTTAAAATTATTATTTTATTTTATTATTTTTCCGGAAAAATGCGAAATAAAATAATCTCACCTTTCATCCAACTCTAAGACTTGGCCAACAATTTTTCCTATTTGAACTGAAATAAAATAAAATCTAAACTGTATTGTCATTCTGTAAACAGGAAAATATGAGCGTAAAAATATGCATTGTCTTATTAAACATTTAAAAAAAAATTTTTTACCAAGCAGACAGAAATAAGCCGGTGTTTTCATTTTGTATAATACAATATTGCTTCCGGTTAAAATAATTAGCAGTCCTATTCGGATATAGACAAGGTATTTTTCCGGAACTTTTTTCGGTGGAAAACTGTCGACAAAGTATTTATTTTTATTTAATTGTTAACCATTTTCTCTACACCTGACTAGCAAGCAAATATTTTATAATTGATGACTTTCAAACTTTTAAAAAGCAATCCGCGCGATCCATATACCTAGAATTATTTCATGAAAGGCATTCTTAGTAGGCACTGGCTACGTTTACATGGAAATGTAACAATAATATAAAAATTATTGTTACATTGGAGACTAGTTGCCGGAATGCAGGGTTGGGTAAGGAACCGATTAATTACGAATGTAACAATAATATTTGGGTCTACGGTTACATTGCGTTATTGTTACATTAACGCACTGCAATGTACGATGGGAATAGTAAAAAATATGTAAAAACTTGAAAACTTTTATTTGATATTTACAATATTGCATACAATATTTTGATTTTTTATTTACCATGACAGTTTCTACAAATCCAGTATAATGTTTTTGGAGCATGTTTTAGTCCGACGCATTTTCGGTGATTAGAAACCACTCTAAGCAGCCATCCCAAACCAGTGATACGACAATGTGCACGCTCTATATTGCATACCGTACAATTTCATTCTGCATTTTCCCTTTATGAAGTTTAAGAAACTTTCAATGTCTGAATGCCATGCTTCAAGTGAAAAATATTTTGTTACTCTTGTGATGTTTACATTTTCGTCCAATATTTTTTTTGGAAGCATGTTAGGTTGTTTAAATACAAGTCAATTGTGAAAGCAATTAATGTTGACATTTGCCGACAGATTGAAATTGGTGGAAACAGTGTTTTCATTTTCAGAGTCCAGATATTTTGTGATCTTATCAGTCGTGACAGTACATGCTCTATTGGACAGTTCATTAAGTATTCATCAATAGTGATATTGAACTAAACTGTAGTAGTCATGATTTTTAACAACACCAAAACAATTAATACTTATTCGCTGAATAATATTATTATTATTAATATTATCTAGTACATATCGAAGAATTAAGCAACATAACTATAGAAGGTTTAAGTTTAATAAATCTATCATACATTGCAGTCTTTAATGTAACAATAACGCAATGTAACCGTAGACCCAAATATTATTGTTACATTCGTAATTAATCGGTTCCTTACCCAACCCTGCATTCCGGCAATTAGTCTCCAATGTAACAATAACTTTTATATTATTGTTACAATTCCATGTAACCGTAGCCAGTGCCTTCTTAGTAATGCCATGATGTCAATGCCAGGGCGTTATAAATCCCTTTTCAACCGATAAAACCGTCGCCTTCTTCTTTAAATACGGAACTTACTCGTCTATTTGACGATGAACATCCGGTTCAGGATGAAGGAGCAGTAGGAAAATTCGGGATCCCCAAACTTTTTTAAAATCTTGCGTTTTTATGGTGTCCCGTTAAATATTTCACCGTCAATATATGAACTAAACATTACCATAACATTCAGAAACACATACAGAATGAGTAAAACTAGCTCTTCAAGATTGATGAGAGGCACCACGCTCCCACTTGTATAAACAACAAATCATGTGCACAATGTGATGAGACTTTTAAGCCCTGAAAAACCAAAGGACTATGAATTGCAATATTTGTAAATACTGGTTATGTATAGATTGTAGTCACATGTCTATACCAAATTGTATATGACCTTAAAAAAAAGAGTAAACCAGGCTGATATCTGGTTGAAATTAAACAAAAGAAATGGAACTCTTTATTAGAGCCAAGTTGGTATATTTAAATTGTTTACATCTGTTTCTATGGGTTTTAAAAGTTCAATGTAGGTGCTTAATTTATGATTTTTTTTGCATCTTATATACTTGTTTATACATAATATAAAGTATGGAGCTTCGAGCTATTTGTAAACTTTTTTTTTATTAAAGACAAACTTTCACTAAACAGTCGATTACGGTAGGTGCAAATACATGTGGATCTTTTTTGTGCATAAGCATAAATTCCGCAAAAACAAAAATCCACAGAAAGATAAAAGATTGATCTTTTTAATGCATTAATTTGCATCTCTGCCCCAGCAACATTTTTTTTGAAAAAAAAGTCCTAAAAAATAGGCAATAATCTCATCGAAAAGAGAAAGTCGGGTACACCTTTTTATGTTCAGGAGTGTTTGCGTTGACTGTTTTTTCTTGAAAACCATGGGCACTTGTCTCTGAACAAATATTTACCTAACTCGTATATTTGATAAATGTCACCCGGTCGCGAACTTCCGTTATATTTTGATTCTGCGGTTGTCTATCCCAATGAAACTTGTCATGTTCATTAAATTATCTATAAAATGATGTATTACATACTTATTTCTATTGTCGGAATCATTCGTAACAGGCCTTTTAAGTACGTCAACTGTGAATTATTTCGTCTTCTCACAGTCAAATGGCAATTTTAATAACGGAAGTTCGCGACCGGGTGACATTTCTCAAATTTACAAGTTAGGTACCTTGTGTTATATTAAAGTATATAGGTTTTTTTTTTCAGAGACAAGTGCCTGTGAGATAGTATTATTTTGTTGAAGATTTAGGAGATGTTCTGTATTCGGACTTGAGTGAGGAACTTTTTAATTCATCCATTCTATCAAATGATATTTTATTACCTTAAGTGTAGAATAGAAATTTAATTATATTATGAGCTGTGATGATATTCAATTTTTATTAGCAAAAACATTGCATTTGATGTTTAAGAGGAGAAAGATAAATTTATAACTACAAAAGAGTTTAAAATTTTAATTATATATTTATTAGCATATTAAGACTTTTAAATTACTTCTTTTTTCTCTCTCGTTCTTTTTAGAGGACAAAGATTGATCTTAAAAGTAATTGTTTTATACTTTTAAATAATTTTCAATTTTTGGAAAATGATCTTTAAATTGTGTATGTATTTCATGGGCATGAGGTAAAAGTGTCTAATATGTCTTTTAGGCAGGAATCTAATATGTGTTTATGCTGCTTTTATCTGATGTATAATATATTTTATTATACTTCACGTAAAAATGCCATATTTTGACTGGCTAATACGAGGGTGTTAATTTACTCTATTACCCTTCGTAGATACGCTTGATCAAGTGTGCGCTTTATTAAATACGACTCTATCCTATGGCAAATACTCTATTACCCTTCACGGAGACGCTTGATCAAGTGTGCGCTTTATTAAATACGACTCTATCCTATGGCAAATACTCTATTACCCTTCACGGAGACGCTTGATCAAGTGTGCGCTTTATTAAATACAACTCTATCCTATGGCATATACTCTATTACCCTTCACGGAGACGCTTGATCAAGTGTGCGCTTTATTAAATACGGATGGTTGTTATGTACAAGACGTCATAATTTATAACTTCGAATTTGAAATTTAATCGACAGTAATGCACTGGTGGCAGCAGTCACGGCTTTACCTCCTAGAGTCTTTGCGGAAGAAGAGGTAAACATGCGTCCAGCTAAATTAGCGATCGTGTCAAACAGACCCCTACCACCAACCACATATTTACGTTTGTATCCTTTCTTAATGATTAACATTTATTTATAGAAGTTTAGGTAGCAACAACCCACTTTTTCTGACACACACCACACAAAGCATAAATGGTTTCAAGTTCATCACAAGCTCTTACTTGCTTGGAATGGTGGAACACTTTTTTAGAATGACAATATTTACATTCATGAATCCTTCTTCTGTATCTGTATAAATATCATACTCCTCTACTTCATGCTGAAGACGAACAATTTCTCGATATCTCGAAACCAACCATCCCACTTCTTTTGCACAGTATAGAAAAGGATTTGCTTGTAAATCAGCAATTAGTTGATACACTTCCCAGGGTTTTAATAACGACACGTCAACTTTATTTGGTATCTTAACGTTTGCTCGTTTAAATATTTTACAATATGACAAAAACTTTTCATCAAACGTATTCATATTTGATTTATAGGAGTTTACGATGAATCTCTTTATAATTCTTACTGTTAATGAAGCCACCCTTTTCCATAGCATCGAGAATAGCTACGATCTCATTGCGTACACCACTATTCCCAGCATGATTAGAAGCAATACATAACTCTAATCGATCGAGGAGTTGGTTAAAATCTGAAGGTAGAAATATGGGTTGTTGCAGTCCATAACCATACTTATCTTCCTTGTAGATAGGTTTGACGATATTGTTGCCGTAGTACATGGCAGCGGTGTTTTTCAATATCTCACCATAGTGCTCCAAATCACCAGGTTCATAATCCGTGGGTTGCTTAATCACCATGAGTTTCCATAAACCAGGGGTTCCTTTATACCTTACTCCATCAACAAAGAGATCATCTCCATCAATCTTCACCTCTGAATTCTCGATGAAGAATTGTTTGTGTTCAGAACGCAAACCAAAGATTTTGTCAGCGTTATGAGTAGTCATAAGGTGTAAATAATGTTCGGCTAGAGGACCAACGTTAATAATATTTGTAGGTGGTTCGATAGGTAATGGATCGGCAAACTCGGGAGGTGGAGAAGGCAATGCAGGTAGTGGTAGGATCGCTGGGAGATCTTCAATCGTCTTGGTGATCTTCGAAGCCGTTTTGTCTTGTGCTTCTACGACGGGTTTAAAAAACTTGTTAAGGTCACGACGCAACCCTTGTTTGTCCAGTCGTTGTTGTAAGTTGTTAGCTTGAATGTTCCGCTTGATATCGTGTAGCTTCACGTTGTTTAGGTTCAGTGATGGTAATAAACGTCATTTATTTAGAGCGTTGAGCGTTAAACGTTGAACGCTGTTGCGCGTTGAACGATGAACGATGAGTGATTAACGTTGAACGTTGAACGCTGTTGAGAGTTGAACGATGAGCGATGAGCGTTGAACAATGAACGATGAGCGTTGAAGCGTTGAGCGTTCAACGTTGAGCGTTGAAGCGTTGTACCTTATCGCGATGCATCAAAAG